TCTCGTTGTGGAATCTGTTATCCACATGAATCTCTAATGGGGGTGAATTCTTACCAGAAAATCCCAACATAGTTGAATGGCTGTGCATAAAGATACAGAAAGAGTGAAACTCAATGACAACCTGGTCTGTCCAGTGTAACCACAGGGCAAATCAGACAAGAATGGGACAGTAATCTGCTGAACACATGAAGAAGAAACTGGGTGGGTCATCAGTAGTGGCCTGAGCTGGTGAACTATGTTCATCCATGGGGTCTCCCCTTAGGGGGGAAATGTGGAATGAACTAGAATGCTCCTGAGAGTGAGCAATAGGTCAGATGAGTTTTTGAGAAAAGTAGTAGTAAAATAAACCTTTGCTTGGGTGGAACAGAGGACAGTTGTGCAAGCTGGGGATAGATTTATTCTGTAATAATTAACATACCAGGGCACCGCGCCACCCAATGACGTGACAGTGTTAGGTGGCAGCATTAATAAAGCCAAAGAAACAAACTGGTAGGAGTCAGAGCCTGGGTGGAAAACTATAGGCTTGAGCTATAGGCCTTTGGGGGAAATGGTCATGGGACTCCAGGTAGCCCTTCGAGGGCTCACAGAACTGCTGTGCTTGCTGTGTGTCCTGCCCTGGGCCAGAGGTGGGAAGGTGCTGGTGTTTCCTGTGGATGGCAGCCACTGGCTGAGCATGCGGGACGTGGTGAGGGAATTGCACAATCGAGGCCACCAGGTCTTGGTCATGGCCCCAGACATGAACATGCACATCAAAGAGGAGGAGTTCTTCATCAAGAAAGCATATGCTTTTCCACTCACCAATGAGGAATTTCACCATATCATGCATGAATACTCTGAGTTCATCTTTAAAAATGAACATTATTTGAAGACCTTTTTAAAAAATGCTGCAACTTTAAAAGTCTTGGCTAAGTTCCACACGACGTCTTGTGAGAACCTCATGTACAACACGACTCTGATGAGCCATCTGAAGTCTAGTGCCTTTGATGTGCTGTTAACGGACCCTGTTATTCCCTGTGGGGCAGTGCTGGCCAAGTACCTGAATATCCCGGCTGTGTTTTTTCTACGCTCCCTATTCTGTAGCCTGGAATTTGCAGCTACGCAGTGTCCAGACCCTTCGTCATATATTCCTAGGTTCCTGACAAGGCATTCAGACCACATGACCTTCTTGCAGAGGGTCAAGAATTTCCTCTACCCTTTTCCCCTGATGTATATTTGTGATTTTTCATTTACCCCTTATGCACGGCTCGCCTCTGAGCTCTTGCAGAGAGAGGTGTCGGTGGTGGATATCTTCAGCCACGCATCCGTGTGGCTGTTCAGAGGGGACTTTGTGTTGGACTACCCCAGGCCTATCATGCCCAACATGGTCTTCATCGGGGGCATCAACTGTGGCAACCGGAAGCCACTCTCTCAGGTCTGTATCCAATCGATGTTCCAGACAGAAAACTTTAAAAAAAAAGGAATTCTTAACTTTAAATGCTTACTTCTCTGCTCATCATTCCAAATTGATGTCTTTCCTTCTAATCATCTTTGGTGACAAACTCTGGAAATGTGTATAGCCCTTTACTTCATAAACCTGCCTCTCACAGAGAGCCCTGAGAGGCAAAGAGAACATCTTCTAACAGGACAGATGGCAGATCGATGGTGAGAATTGATCAGATTTTCTACCACAGGTAACAGTGTCTTCCTGATGGGGAGGTTGGGCAGGAACAGGGGAAGTGAGCTGGGTCTTGACCTACCAGGGGAGTAATGCTTGCAGATTTGCAGTATAAGTTTAAGGACCTGGCATGGTCGTTTTAATCATGCTGTTTGTGAAAGGATGGGGATGGCTCACAAGGGTCTTACATATTCATTGGAATTCAACAGAATCTCATGTGCAATGTAGCTTATAGCATGTGGTAATAAAGTAGCAGTGTTCAACAGTCATATCATATCTAGTTAGTGACTGCAGAATGGTGCTGTATGTGTTCCTTGATGCATCCAAATCACCTGCGCATGTATGCATGTGTGTGTATACAATGTGTGTGTATACAATGTGTGTGTGCATGTGCATGCTTGCTGGTCTTGGGGCTTGAACTCTGGGCCTGGGTGCAGTCCCTGAGCCTTTTGCTCCAGGCTAATATTCTTATCATGTGAGCTACAGCTTCACTTCCAGCTTTTTCTTGGTAGTTCATTGGAGATTCAGAGTCTTAGAGACTTTCTTGCATCGTTTGGCTTCAAACCACCAGATTTCAGTCATCAGAGTAGCTAGGATTATAGGTGTGACCCACCAGCAGTTGGTACAAATTGTATATTTTCTATATGAAAATCTAAAACCACAAAGGGCTCTGCTCGGGGAAGTCCAATATAACAAACCTTACTTTTTACTGGGGAAATGCAGAGCATGAGCTGTGTGTTTGGTAATCACAACATTGACCATTTCCTAGTTCAGTCCTAGTAAACCAGTGGCTATCTGTTATGCTAAAATGGTTTGAGATGGGAGAAGAAGAAAGGAATCTCTTTATTCAAAATCCAGATGAGAAACTTATAAATTTTCAATAAGCAAGTAATAGATTTGTCAAGGTAAGGTGTTTCTCTACCAGTCTGGAAATACTGGGGTTTGATTTCAGGGCCTAGTGCTTGGTGGGCAGGCACTTTACCTCTGAAGTTACTCCCACAGACTGTTTCCTCCCCTATTTTTAAAGTATTTTTGCGATAGGGTCTTATTTGTTGCCCAGGCCAGGCTGGACCATTGTTCCTCCTTTTTGTGTCTCCCAAATAGCTATGATTACACATACCACCAATATACTGAGATCCTTGTTTTAGGTAGAAACCCACTCACTATTTTTTGCACTGGCCGGTCTAGAACCAAAGTCTTCCCAATCTCAGTAGTGCTCAATACTAAGTAGCTACGATTACCAGCATGAGCTATCCTGCCCACCACCTACTATTTGCAGAAAAACAGAATCATCTTTAAACAAGAAACTGATTTAAGTGTATTTGAACACAGTTTGGCCTCTTCTAAAGTTTTCCATTGTAAGGGGTAAATGGAACCCCAAAACTCACTGTGTTAAAGCTCTGGCCAGAGGAAGTGTGTGGCTCTTGGAATGTTTGGATTCTGCTGAGACTGCTTAAATGCTGGCGTCCCACACTGGCGTGACTCTCCTAGCCTGCCACACTCTGGAGGGTGGTGATAGTGACTTCATGAAAAGCCTGTGTGGCAGTGGACTGAAGGTGTGCATCTCCACACAAGAGGAAAATGCCCTGCTTTCTAGCATTCACTTGAATCATCCATGAAAGATGAATGGCCTGTACAGGTATATAGTAGTACATATTATCTGAGCTTAGAGAATTGATAAAAAGTTGTTTGAAAAATCTTTAAATGCAATGCTTTGTAATTCTGTAAAAAGTAGTTCATTTTCGACAAATCCAAGACATATCAAAACCCTGACTGCTTACTCTGTTTTAAAGGAGCCTACAACTGTACCTATAGATCCATGACCCGAGTGACCTTGTATGCCAGGCTCTCTGCTTACCATTGAACTCTGTGGACCATCTTTAACCCACTGTGTAGAGACATATACACTCAATTCTGTCCTGTCTGGCCATTTCCACCATACATAACCATGGAACTGGGTCTGTTCTTTTCTCATCCCCTAACTCCTGACACCCCTCACTTCTTCAGAGCCCAAACCACCACAGAAAACCAGTGAATATGTTTACTTGTATGACTTTCCTTGCCTATGAGTAAACAAACTTGTTTTTTCAAATCCCTAGCAAATTCAAATCCTGGCAAGTTGTTTATCACATAGGAAGCAGCTGCCCAGATACCTCTGTGACTTTTTTTAAAGTGGTTTTTCCAGCTGCCCCATAATCCCATGGGTATCCTGAATCCCCTTTTCATGCCATGAGTTATGTGTCCTATCATGCAGGTCAGCCTCTGGGGGCCCTAAAGTATATCTAAACCTATTCTCACATATTCCAAGTGTGCAACAGTGTCCTCGGGTCCCATGACCTCTCTGCAGTCATGAACTTTGTGCATTTTTAGCCTTCTTCAGTTTTCCTTTTTTACCTACTTTCTTGGGTAAAGAGATGACAATGGAGGATGGGACACTTTGTGGTGAACCTATTAAGACAATCAGACCCCAAAAGGTCCCCATGTAGGACAGGACATCAGCTGTGCCAACATTTGACTTTCTCAGCTCGACGTTTGGCACCCTACCTGCTCAACAGTTTCAGGCGAACCTCGCGTTTATGTAGCTACGTTGACTATGTCCCCAGAATGGCAACAAGTTGGTGTGGCCTTGGAAAATTTATTTTATATTCCCAGAATGTGTCAGACTGAGTGCAGTCCTGATAGGTCACCAAGACCATGAGACTTCAAGGTGATGACCTAAATATTTTGCCCTCAGCCTTCATGATAGTTTGTTACAGAAGCCCTAGAACTAATTATACTCACTTTACCAGGTTTACTTGCTTCATAGAAGTCTAGGTTCAACATAATACATAATACATAATAGTCAACTCTTCCTACATCACTAGCATTTATGTACTACTTTAACCCATCTTCTGTTTTACTTTACAAGTACTGTACATTTCAGGAAAATGTAGTTAAAAAAATAAATCATTCAAAAGTTAAATCATTCAGGGCATACTACCTGGCTGTTTTCCAACAGATGGGGAAAGGTAAGGTTCAAGGAGCTGTGGAGAACAGGTTTTTCAGGCACTTGGAAATTATCTTCATCTGCCTTTAAATTTAATAAATAGCAAAGTGCATATAGATATTTACAAATTTTAAAGACCCTCAGATATCCTATTTGTATGGTCCAAACAATAATTACAAATAGGCTTTGGTATGAACTGTTTATATAATCTTAGATACACTTGTTCTGAAAATAGAGGTCACTTGCAATCTTAAAAAAATGCTATTTCTCAAAATGTACTAAATCAAAGGGAATTATATAGGTGTCAATGCAACTGCTCTTTGCCATTTATTGCCTGCTCTTTGCCAGAGATTTTAACTCTCAGTCTTCTTCTACTTCCATCCTCTGCTGGCCGTTCTCCACGGTTCTTTTAGTGGTGATACTTTTGCTATTAATTGTTTGGGTGGAAGTGGACGCAGACTTGAAGCTGTCTGTCCCACCACAGAACTTGGAGAAAGAAGAAAGACCTCCATTTCTCAGAGAACCATAGGATGTGAATCTTGTGTGGAATGGAGAGAAGTGAGCCCCAAAAGCTGGAAATTCAGTGAAGGTGGAGAAAAGGGGTGTGAACCCCCTGCTCCTGCTTCTGCGAGGGGTCCTGTGACCCCCCAAAATGTTCTCCAGCGGGGTCCCGAAGAAGTCGAAGGAGAAGGGGTCCTGGCCCGCGAAGAACTCCCTGAAGACGTCGGCGGGGTCGCGGAAGCTGAAGACGCACTCGAAGGGGTCGTGGCAGGGGCGGCCCGCGGCGCCCGCGCTGTCCTCGCCCGCCTCGCCATAGCGGTCGTAGACGCCGCGTTTCCTGGCGTCCGACAGCACCTCGTAGGCCTGGGCCACCTGCTTGAATCTCTTTTCTGCCTCCTCCTTGTTCTCGGGGTTCTTGTCGGGGTGCCACTTGAGCGCCAGCTTGTGGTAGGCCTTCTTGATGGCGTCGGTGGAGGCCTGCCGGGGCACGCCCAGCACTTGGTAGTAGTCCACCATGTTGGGGGCTGAGGAGGGCGGGCAGGGCGCGGCCCTGGGGCCAGGGCAGGGCAAAGGCAGCAGCAGCTTCTGGCTGCTGGCTGCAGGCGGAGGCTGCTAGCTGAGGCGGAGCGGCGCCCTTGTGACGTGGCCGCATTTCATTGGTTCAGGCTGCCTTGGTCTTCTCATCCCAGAATGCTGTGCTCCAGGTGGTGGGGAAGGTGGGGGGAGGGTTGCCTTGTTGCCTAGTAACCATGGGCCTAGGCCTAGGGCCAAGCTAGACCCTGCCTCTGTGCTCTCCTCGACCCGTGCTCTCTGCCACGTCCAGAGGTGTGGTTGCCTCTAGACTTGAAGAACAAAGCTAAACGTGATGAAGAGAGAGATGGGGGAATCTGGGTGCCTTAGAAAATACTTGTTTTAAAATCAAATAGACTCAAGTTAGGCTTTCCCCTCCGCGGGGGGGGGGGGGGTTCCTCAACCCGGGCCTAAGGAAAGTCTTCTGTATGGAGCGCGACTTCAGCCTCAGTGTTTTTGGCCTTAGCACCTGTTTGCTTCTGTTCAGTATGTCACATGTATTACAGGCAAAATGCAGACAGGATAAACAGAAGTTCATTAATAGCCATAGAAGTAGTCATATGAACATAAATCATATAAGATAATACTTTCAAAAGAAAAAAATCATTAAGTGGGGTCTTTTTTACATATTTTAAGTCTCTTTAGTATCCAGCTTCATAGCTGAGAGCTGGATTCTCAAGTCGCCTTCTGTGTTCAACCTCATGTGATATCACATATTTGTATTCTGGAATGTGCTTATGAGAGACTGAGAGTGAAAAATTCAAATAGCATCGTTGTTAAGGGACATAGGGCGTTTGTAAAATTTTTCTGAAAAGTTCTTGAATAGCCTCAGGGTTACCTTGTCCATATTCTGCTAACCATTGGTTTAGTAAATCAGAATCATTCTATCTGTGTTGGTGGTTTCATGTTATATGTAAACATGGGCTACACTGATTATTTCCACAGAAACTGCCAAGTCATTATCTGATATCCTTTTCAGTGTTGCTTGACATCTGAGTTCATTCACTCCGCTATCTCATTCTCTCCTGAACACTATATTCTTTGATCAGTTGTGAAGCAACACACCAATGGAGGTCACTTAGTTCTAAGGGGAAAAGGATTAACCAATGAACTTTCTAAAGTTTCATCATGAAAGATTATAGGACTGAGTGAAATATCAGGACAAACTGCCACTTGAGTTTGTATCGCATCAGGTGACTGAACTTGAAACCCTTGAGGTGGTTCTTGGTAAGCATGCAAGAAACAGACATTGCAAGCCAATCAGGAATGAAGTTCAGTGTGAATAAAGCAATTAGGGAAAGTAAAAAATAGGGAATGGTGATCAGAATGGCTAAAGCAGAGAGAGGGTTCCAAGCTGAAGTACTACAGCTTTAAAATGAGCAGTTTCTCCATGACTTTTCCAGCACACTCTCCAGCATGGCTGGCTAGTAATGTCCATGGTCAATTGTATAGGATAAGGATTGTGTTGGACAGCAGTGGGTTCCCAGAGAAGAGGCTTTAGTGCTTTGTGGCACTCTGTCCAGTTTGGGAGAGGGGGATTGCTATCACACTTGTTCCTGACACTTCCCTTTTGTCCATGGACATACCAGGCACCAAGCACCGGGTGGTGCATGAATACCTTCTTGGTTCCCAGGTTCTTCCATTTGTCTTGTGCCCATTTACTTTGATTGGGTCATGATGTGAGGCTCACAACTTTGATTTTGACTTTTAACTGACAATTTCAATCAGGGTTTTGTACATTGTTTTTTGTGTACTACTGCAGATCTTGAGGAATTGTTAAAAGCAGAGACTGCGAACCAGCATATAGTGTTTGGTTATTAGCTCTGTCAAAAAGCTACCACAGGACTCTAAGAAATATTTGTGCTCTTCTGTACTTCAGTATCTTTGTAAAAGGAGGAAGATACTATCATCTGCCTCTTCTATGGGACTATGTACTATGTGTTACAGACAGTACTTGACCATATACTGTGAGCTTAATAAATATCAATTCTGTTTTTGTCCACCTGTCCTCTTTGTCTTCAAAGTGATTATCAGAATTTCCCCTGGATCTTGGATCAGTGTGACGAGTCCATTCGAACTTGCTTCATTTGCTTATGTATTTTGCTTTCTTATATAGAAAGCATATTCTCTCCTTGGAGCAGACTTATACTTAAGTGCATTTCTTCTTCCAGTCATTCTCTACCCCAGGACAACACTGTTCATTTCCATCCTGACAAATTTCACAGTCTCTAAGGTCCTGCTTAATCCATTTCAATTGTGAGTCGGTTTCTCTTTATGGAATGTGGATTCTGGGAGGAGAGATTTCATCTGTGGTGGTCTCAGCTGCACTGTTGAGACTCAGCACTGTGCAGACTCAATAAATATTTGTTAGATAAGTGAAGAAAAATGATAGAGATAATCAGGCAGGGCCTCAAATGAGCAGTGTGGAAGAGACATTCTTAAGGAAGGCTTAAGAGTTGCACTATTGTTGTGTTGTTTTCTTTCAAAAAGTTCTTCTAAGGCCAGGCTTTTGTGGCTTACATCCTCGCTATTCAGGAGGCTGAGATCTTAGGACTGCAGTTCAAAGTGAGCCTGGGCAGAAAAGTTTGTGGGACTCTTCAATTTACCACCAGAAAACCAGAAAGTGGTTCAAAGTGGTAGAGCACTAGCCTTGAGCAAAAAAGACCCCAGAGACAATGCCCATGTCCCAAGTTCAAGGACCCCCCCCAAAAAAAAACCAACCGAAAAAGGCCTTCTAAAAACACACTGTCTATTTTGCTTCTGGGAAGGAACTTTACTGTGTCACCTAGGGGTCCTTTTTCCTTTCTGGTAATCATTTTCTTTCATTTTGTCATTCTATAAAATGTATTCTCCAATTATCAATTCATGAAAGACAATGGCTAACAAACTTCTTCAGATTAAGAGAGATTTAAGATATAAAATAAAAATATTATCCTGGAATGGATTCTATGGGGTAGAGGAGAAATTCATATAAAAGATATTAGGAGAAACACTTAATATAAACTACAGATTATTATATCAATGTTACATTTCCTTGATGGTTATTCTTGTGGAAATACACTCCTAAATATTAAGAGGTGAAGGAACATTTGCTTATGTAACCTAGACACAAATGGCTCAGAAAAAAATACTGTGGTAACACTTTATCAGTTCATGAAAATGACTATTGTATGGGCCCCAAAGTGCCAGAGATCCTTTGTGTTTATTCTTGAATGTGATTTGAGGAAGGAGTTCTACTCTGATAGCCTCGTAAGAAACCAGGTCATGTCCCTCCCTCTTCATCTCAACCAGTCAGCTTCCTGAGGTCCTTGCAGCAGTCTTTGTGGACATGTAGCTTTAGTCACAGGACACAGTCAAATATTAACATCAGATGCAACTTAGTTCTTGCTACATAAGTGCAAGTGAGGGTGGATCCATGGCCAGACCAAAGGTAGGCACACAATGATTGTGATGTCTGGAAGCCTTCGTCCACTCATCCTTGGCTTGCTGCTATGTATGCTCAGCTCCTCTGTGATCCATGCTGGGAAACTGTTGTTAATTCCGATGGATGGCAGCCACTGGCTCAGCATGCTTGGGGTCATCCGACAACTTCATCAGAGGGGACATGACATAGTGGTCATAGCGCCCGAGGCCTCGTTACATATAAAAGAAGGATCATTTTACACCTTGAAGAAGTACCCTGCGCCCTTCAAGAAAGAGGACTATGAAGCTGTTTTTCGTAATTTAGGGCTCAGCGTTTTTATAGAAGATCCCTTCCTGCAGCGTTTCGTCAGACTTTACAAGCAAGCCCAAAAGAATGCAGAAGTGATTCTGTCTATCTGCTCCCACTTACTGCACAACAAGAAGTTCATGGCCTCCCTTCAGGAAAGTGGCTTTGACGCCGTGTTGACAGACCCTTTCCTCCTTTGTGGCCCCATAGTGGCCCAGTATCTGGCTCTGCCTACTGTGTTCTTCTTGAATGCATTGCCCTGCGGACTGGACTCTCAAGCTACCCAGTGTCCCAGACCGATGTCTTATGTGCCCAGGATTTTTTCCTTAAACCCAGATCGAATGACCTTTCTGCAACGAGCAAAGAATGTGATTTTTTCTCTGGCTGAGAATTTTCTGTGCAAAGCAATTTATAGTTCCTATGAACCACTTGCCTCAGAAATCCTCCAGAGAGATGTAACTGTCCAGGACCTTCTGAACCCAGCAGCTATCTGGCTGTTGAGAGATGACTTTGTCAGGAATTACCCCAGGCCCATCATGCCCAACATGGTTTTCATTGGTGGGATAAATTGCCTTCAGGGAAAACCAGTATCCCAGGTGTGTATTTAAGTGGGATTTTTATATGTCTATATCTGCAAAAACAGTGCTGAGGATACTGAAATTGTTTCATTTCTTTTAATTTCTTTCTTACGAATCTCTTAGGCTTGAATTTGCTTGTTCTTGATATTCTGAGTTGTTTGTTTATGTCTAAGACTTCCAGAGAGTATATTTTGGGAATTTTATTCTGTGTAATTTAATTTAATTGAAGTAACAATGCAACAAACATTCAATATTATGGGCACAGAATTCACCTTGCAGAGAACTAGAGTATGCAGCATGCATTCTGCATTGGACAGGGGCATCTGGCTTCATTTAGGCATTAGAATTTCAGATCTTTTGAAATAGTTCTCTGACATTTATACATCCTGGCAAGGAATCTTGCTTGCCTTTCAGTCCTAGTAAAAAGTGCCAGTTTCTAGGTAGTCTGAAAAGAAACTAGATCCTGAAGCCTTTCTTTCCTAATAAATGACAATGCCTTTCTTCTGTCTGGGTGAGAGACTGTCTCTGTGAAAGGTAGTAATTCTGAGTCAATAGGTACACGTTGGGTCTGAGAAAACTGGCCAAATGGAAGGTTAAGGAAGCCAGAGGCTTTAAGACAGCTAATGACCAATAGGAAGAAACACATGAGGACAGGAGGACTCAAAGTATTTGTGCTTGACTTAGAATGCCACATCATGAAGTGACATGTTTCTAACATATAGTCTAAGTGGATTCTAGAGAAGCAAATGATGTTTGGGAAGGGAAATTCTCAGTAGAACTTAGGAGCTATTTGAAATGTCTCTTGTGAGGTCTGGGATATCTTAGAATGGGAAAGTCGCTCTCACTGGGGAAGGGTCTCATCTCTTTCTCTTTTAGAAAGGAACAAGAGTTGGGACAATCAAAGGTTATTTTTTTAAAGGGTTATCTTCAGTTGACATGTTGGTTGTTCCAGGGACTTTGAAGCAGGACAAAGTTTCAGGGTAGTTTTGCCAAGTAGGGGATGGATTTCTCTTTTATGAACCCTAAAAGAGATTCAGAGAGGTGTTGGCCACCATTCCACAATCTGTGCTGTTTGCTTTGCTGTGTTCTGTACATAAATTTGCGTGTCACTGAAAGTCTAGTTAAACCTGTTATTCATCGTTGGATGTTTGTGAACCTGTGGGTTTTGATTTTGTATTAATCTGGGTTTGATTCTGTATTAGTCAATGTCTTGCTAGTTGCTGAGTGGGCATGATGGGGTGTAAGGGAAGGGAGCATAGATGAGGCCCTTTCCAGAAGAGAGTTGGTTCCTTCTGGCTAGAAGGAACAAAGTTCCTATGAATGCAGGTCAGCCTTGCTCCATCATGCAATCAAGAGAGTCTAAAGAATACTATGAAATGAGCTGCTTCTGAAGAAGGAGGGAGTGGCAGGAGAATACCAATGCAGGATGATCCTGGGGCGGAAGGACTCCAGCATGACCATCCTCAGGACATTCTTGCTACAGACAAAAGATGCAGGATATGGCAAAGAGAGAGGAATCTTCCATTCTGACTCCTTAGATGGGCTTGGGGGACTTGGCCAAGCTCCGGCTGCTGTGATGAGCCAGGGGATTGAAGAGGCCAACAGTGGGAGCTGGCGGGAGAGGAAGCATGCCTCCGAGAAGGTTGTTGAGTGTTTGGGTATTTCCTAATCCTATTCAGATTGAGCTACACAGAGCTCGGGTCTCCGTTCATGCATGCTGAGCCCTGTCAGAAAACGTGTATCCCACAGGTAAGGAGACCAAGGTTCTGGTTAGCCCAGGTCTATTTCAGTTAGGAGTAAACATGACATGATCTGATGAGTGCCCTGGGGCTTTACTCAGAGGGACCTGTCACTGTCAGTAGGTGCACCTGTGGGATGCGCAGATATATTAGTGTATATATGTTCTTACACCTGTATATGCATATGCCTTTGCTTTTCTTTTGGAAAATTAGCACATGACCTGGATTCTTCATCTCAAGGGAACACCACAGATAAGCAAGAAATCTTCTTCCTATGGAAGGAGGAATAAGGAAAGGAGATTAAGCTACAGACTTTACACTTTAGTAGTTTTTGTGTAGCTAAGCAAAGTGGCACACACCAGAACTCCTGATACTCAGAAGACCGAGACAGGAGGATTACAAGTTCAAGGCTTGCCTAAACTACATAGTGGACTGTTTTGTTTTTTTTTTAAAGCTTGTCTTTATTTCATACACACATTTAAACACCTTCTCAGCAGGAATGTGTCTCAGAGTTCAATTATGTAATCACACTAAGGAGTATGAGAAAAAGTGAACTGGAAACCTCTCTTTTTGGCTGTAGGAATTTGAAGCCTACATCAACGCCTCTGGAGAACATGGGATTGTGGTTTTCTCTTTGGGATCCATGGTCGCAGAGATTCCAGAGAAGAAAGCTATGGCAATTGCTGAGGCTCTGGGCCAAATACCTCAGACGGTAAGACAATTCTCTGATTACTTAATTGTATATTCAAAAAGTTCTAACCCCAAACTTTCAGGATCTCAATACATTCAATCAGTTGGGCGTCTGCTGTCATTTCCTAATTGCTAACCTGAATTTTTTAAATCTTAACTATTCTTAAATGATAGTCCATCTCACTCAGAAGGTTTTTTTTTCCTTATCAAAGAGAATCAAAAATGTTATGGAGCTGGGCACTGGTGGCTCATGCCTTTAATCCTAACTACTCAGGAGGCTGAGATCTGGGGATCACTGTTCAAAGCCAACTTGGACAGGAAAATCTGTGAGACTCTAATCTCCAATAAACCACCAGAAAATGGAAGTGGCACTGTGGCTCAAGTGGTAGAGTGAAGAGCTCAGGGACAGCGCCCAGGCCCAGAGTTCAAGCCCCACAACCGATAAAAAAAAAAGTGTTATGGAGAATTTAGTTAAAAATGAACATGGTATTGGTTCTTCATATTATATAGGACAGTTTCTAAAAAAAAAGTTGGTTAGGACAGTGAGTGTCTAGCCTATGTTTTTGTGTGGAAAGTTCTGCGGGCAAGTTGTTTTATAAAGTAAACTTCTCATTGAAGCGAAGAAAATTAAAAGACATCATGAGGTGTAGGTGACGAGCTAGTGCATGGAGACGGAAGCACACCCTCGCCACCAAGCCCCACGAAGAAGGGTGGCCAGGAAGCAGTCTTCTCACTGCACCCCCCACTTTACACAGCTTCTGCTCATTCTGTTCTATAATTCATCCATTTTGCCATCTTCTGCTAACTCGCACTACATACCACCATCTTTAGCAAACTCTAACCATAAGAACTGATATTACAATGTTAGTTCAAATAATAGAGAATCAAAGGAAGACTTAGCAGGAAATTAAGAATAGACACTTAGATCCATTGAGAAAGCACACACACCACCACTACAGAAGATTTTTTTCCCCTAGCTTTTATAACAGATTTTTTAAAAACCATATGTTCTTTTATAAAACCTTGTCCCTTTTGTCTCTGCAAGGTCCTGTGGCGCTACACTGGAAGTCGACCATCAAATCTTGCCAACAACACAATACTTGTCAAGTGGTTACCCCAGAATGATCTGCTGGGTATGTTGGGAGAATTTGCTGTATAGATCACTTTGGGGTTAAATTAAGAAAATGGCCTAGACATGGGTTTTAAGAGAGAATTGCAGCCGAGTGCTGGTGGCTCACGAGGCCTGTCATCCTAGCTACTCAGGAGGCTGAGATCTGAGGATCACAGTTCAAAGCCAGCCTGGGCAGGAAAGTCTGTGAGACTCTTATCTCCAATAAACCACTCAAAAACCTGAAAGTGGTGCTGTGGCTCAAGTGGTAGAGCACTAGCCTTGAGCTGAAGAGCTCAGGGACAGCGCCTAGGCCCAGAGTTCAAGCCCCACGACCAACAAAAAAAAACTGGTTAACTTGAACATACTGTGGCTAGAATATCTTCTATAGCTTTTTATCTTTTGTGTGTGTGTCAAGCTTCAACTTCTCCCTATCATTTTGTCAAGTGCGGCATTGAACATGAGTGGGTTCTCAGGGTATTCTCAGAATTTAGACAGTAACAGACTAGAAAATGTAGCCACTGGCCCACAGTCTCCCTCCTTGCTTTGTGTCTCAGGTCACCCAAAGACCCGGGCATTCATCACACACTCTGGCTCCCATGGCATTTATGAAGGAATCTGCAATGGCGTCCCCATGGTCATGATGCCCTTGTTTGGCGACCAGATGGACAATGCAAAGCGCATGGAGACCCGGGGGGCTGGCGTGACTCTGAATGTTCTTGAAATGACTTCTGATGACTTAGCAAATGCACTCAAAGCCGTCATCAATGACAAAAGGTAAGAGTAAAGAAAAAAATCATACCTGTAATCCAGCCATAGCATACACATTCCAATCTGTAGAAATCTTGATTTATTTTTCTCTCTTTACTAACATGTTATTTATACAAATGAATCTCATCATTTTATTTCTACCTATGCATACATTTTGATCACATTCACTCCCTTTAATTCTGATTAAGCAAAAATTCTAATTAATCCAAAATCCAGATTTATAATTAAAACACCTCAGGGTTTGGACATTTCCTATATGATTTGTTATAGAATTTCTTTAAACATTTTTCCTGGTAGATTTACATCTTTAATATATAACAACAACGTCACCAGAATAGACAGGTCAAAAGTTTCCAAAAAGGGGGCTGGGATGTAGCTCAGTGGCAAAGCGCTTGCCTAGCAAGCGCAACGTCGTGGGTTCGATCCCCAGTACCAAAAAAGAAAAGACAAAAAAAATACAGTTAAAAAAAAGTTTCCAAAAAGGAAGATTCCATGAAGATAAGCAGTGTCCATAAGATAAAACAAGCCAGTTCTTACACCCTCTGTCACCCTGGGAATTGTCAGATAGTTTTTCCATGAGGCTCTGTAAACATGGTAATTAGAGGATATCACAGACCACAGCTTAGAGCAAAAGCAAAGATACACTAAGCCAAAGATTGGCCCTAAACACTTCAAAACACAAAACATTGGAGCATATGATCTCTGTGTGAAATTTAGTGTATTGCCGGTAAGTTTCCTGGTAAATAGATGATCAAAACCTTATTGGATGAAATGATTGCTGGTGGTAGATTTCTACCAACAGTAGTAATGTATGTATATACATCAAATATCTGTGCATGTGTGTATTTGCCTATGAGAGTGTGTATACATGTGTGTGTCTATACAAGTTTTAGGGGTGTTGTCTTAGCTTGCTTTTTCTTGTAATCATAGAATCCCTGAGCCCTGATGATTCATAAAGAACTTTGTCTCATTGTTCTGAGTTGGGAGGTGCCAGACGGGGCAGTTATACCTGTTGAGGGTGACATGCTGTGTCCATCAGTAGGCAGAAAAATAGAAGGAAATGGGTGTTAGTACGTGAGAGACAAAATTCAAGGGTCATCGTTGGTGGCATGTCTCAAGCGGTAGAACACGGAGCTGAGCAAGTACAAACCTAGTACCAAAACAAACCAGGCCAAACCAAAAAACCCTCTCAGGGCACCCTCCTTTCATCACAATGTGCGTTTGAGTAACTAGCCTAGTCCTGTGGGAGAGGCATTAATCCTGTGATAACTAGCTCTTAAAGGCTCCCTCGCCACATGGTACCACTGCACTGGGAATCAAAGCTGCAACCCATGACCTAACGGGGGATACACCAAACCATAGCATTGCTAAACCCATAGCTACTTCCTTTAGAAAGAGCCATTCTTAGCACAGGACGGTGGGGTCTCATTCTTTCCCTCCCCTTGTTTCCTTGTGTCCTGGCTTGTCAGCATCTGGACCTTCAGCTCTCACATCACAGTCAGCACCCAACTTCTTCCAGATGCTGATGAAACTTGTTTTTGAGCTTTACATATTCCTATCATTTCCATCCTTTCCTTCAACCTAATAGCTAACTACTTGGAACTTAAAAAAATGACTTGGAAGACATTCCCTCAGACATTTTTATTTACAAGAACACCAATCAGTTAATTTATGTTCTTATTTAAAACTTTTTTGGGGTGGTCATGGGACTTGAACTCAGGGGCCTGGGCCCTGTCCCTGAGCTTTTCACTCAAGGATAGTGCTCTACCACTTTGAGCCACAGCACAATTCCACATTTTTTAAAACTCATTTATATCTGATTGAGTCCCAACGTTTGCAACATCCTAAGTTGGAAGTATACTTCTACAATATGAGGAAAAACAGAAAAATTTGAAAAAATCATTTTGTACAGACAACTAGGCCACAATAAGTATTCAGTAAATATTAAATAAACGGCGAGAAGCTCTAAGAAAAATCTACCACCAAAGAATATCTATATAAAAGGAAATTGTGTACCAGGACATCTATGTGTCAGATATTTTTATTAATATTGTAATTTCTTACTCAAATAAAATGAGATTTTTTTTTTTTAGTCCGGTCATGGGGTCTGAACTCTGGGCCTGGGCACTGTCCCTCAGCTCTTCAGCTCAAGGCTAGCGCTCTACCACTTGAGCCACAGTGCCACTTCCAGCTTTTTTCTTTTTGCTTATGTGGTGCTGAGGAATCGAACCCAGGGCCTCATGCATGCAAGGCAAGCGCTCTACCACTAAGCCACCTTCCCAGCCCAATGAGAGCTATGTTTAAGCACAGCAATGGTCATGACTTAGGAGTGTCTTGTCTTCCTTTTTCTGCCTTTCCTTTTGTTCTTCCTTCTTCAGTCTCCTCCTGCTCCACTTCCTTCTTCCAATGTGTCCACACCACAGCTGAGCCATCACCACACTTCAGACCCAGTTGTTCTGCTTCAGCCATCAGCACTGTCCAAAGCAACAGCAACCTCTTCCCAAGAAGAGGCCACAGGGACACCACCTCCACTGTCCAGAGCAAACAGCAACCTCTTCCCAAGAGGCCACAGGGACACCACCTCCACTGTCCAAAGCAACAGCAACCTCTTCCCAAGAAGAGGCCACAGGGACACCACCTCCACTGTCCAAAGCAAACAGCAACCTCTTCCCAAGAGGCCACACCGACACCACCTCCACTGTCCAAAGCAAACAGCAACCTCTTCCCAAGAGGCCACACCGACACCACTTCAGCCTCAAGTTAGCACGTGATTCAATGTAACAGTTGAGTGGAAGTTTATCATAACCTTGGCACTTTCAAATGACTTTTGTTTTGGCCAGATGGAGTTGTTTTTAACTTCAAATGGGACGCCACTGGCAATTTCTGCATGTCTTTTTCCTTTATTTAAAAATATACATTTTCTATTTTGCTACAAAGTACAATGCAATAATTTATAAAATTCTTGGTTCTTTATTCTATATACCAATACAAATATCTCTAAAAGGAGTGTAGAAGCAAGGATTAAATATTTCTAAACTTATAACTTTGGCTTCCAGTTCCTTCCCTTCTTCCTTTCCTTTCTCTCACCTTCTTCCTTTTTCTTTAAACAAATGGAGAGCATGTATCGTGTATGTGTGTGTGTGTATTCACAACCACATGCATGCATGTATGTTCTTTTCTGGTTATTAAAAAACACATAGCTCGATGCTGGTGGCTCATGCCTGTAATCCTAGCTACTCAGGAGGCTGACATCTGAGGATCACGGTTTAAAGCCAGGCCCGGCAGGAAAATCTGTGAGACTCTTATCTCCAATAAACCACCAGAAAACTGTAAGTGGTGCTGTGGCTCAGGGACAGTGCCCAGGACCAGAGTTCAAGCCCTACAACCAACAATAACAACAAAAACCCCTGATTAGCCATTACCACTGGGAAGCCAGTATAGGGAGGACCATGCATTACCCAGGTCCTCCCTCATTCACTAACTGTCTTTGTGTCTAGCTACAAGGAGAACATCATGCGCCTCTCCAGCCTTCACAAGGACCGCCCCATTGAGCCCCTGGACCTGGCTGTGTTCTGGGTGGAGTATGTGATGAGGCACAAGGGGGCGCCGCACCTGCGCCCTGCAGCCCATGACCTCACCTGGTACCAGTACCACTCCTTGGATGTGATTGGCTTCCTCCTGGCCATTGTGCTGACAGTGGCCTTCCTCATCTTTAAATGTTGTGCCTTTGGCTGTCGGAAATGCTTTGGGAAGAAAGGGCGAGTTAAGAAATCCCACAAAACCAAGGCCCATTGAGAAGTGTGGGAAAGTAAGGGGAAATCTTGACATATTCTCCAATCATTTAGACACTTGGAAACAAATTCTGTATCAAATTCATTTTAAGAATAAAATTCTTAAAAGGAAGTTCTTTGTACAATTGGGATCCCCAGAGCACTTTTCTTTAAAAATAAAAAGAATCCAATTGCTGTACATACTTATGGTAAAGCACTGAATATACATTTTGCTTGTCTGGTTTCTTTAATCTGACTGCACCTGTCAGCCCTCAGATGGATTATAGAGCAAAACTAACACAGTTCTTAATTTTCTTGTTAATAAATGTAGACCCTTTAGGGACATATGTTGCAAACACCCCCTGGCTTTGGATGACTTTTAACACTGTCATCCATTGTAATACTGTGATCAATTCCTGTCCAGAGATTGTTGGTCCTTACTTGTATCCATACTTCATAGGGTGTCACCTGGTGTGTTTATAGAAGGAAGTTTTCGTACCTTTAGAGTATGCCTGATATGAATAAATGCTTGGAGTCCTTGAAAACACATATGGTTTCTGACCTTGGGGAAAAGAATGAAAAGAATGATGCTTTAAGATTGCTGGTGCTGTATTTGAGAGGCTGATCACTGCTACTTCAGATGGATCTGTATTTGATGAAAGCTATAGAGTTGGGCAAAAATGTTTTCTTAGATGTTTCCCCAAAGCAAGATTTATTAATAAATTCTTACAAATACATTTCTAGTGTCTTCTTTCTTCATTGTTATTGTACTTACTTGTTATGAAATGGTGTTTTGTAATGATGAACACCGGTATAATTATGACAGAAAATTTGAAAAGTGTAGAAGATATTCACACATACACATAGAAGTAAATTCCATGTGTGCATTTCATGATAAGAGAAAAATCACTGGTCACTGTATTTCCCAGAAATACCAGTATTACTGCTATCCTTCAAGGTCTTCCAAAGGCTTCTGTGTTGAAGGCCTGGCCCTCAGCCAGTGGCTCCATTGGTGGTGGAACCTTGGAGAGAATCTTGAGACCCTTGCCCATTTCTTCCTTCTTCACTTCCTAGCTTCCATGAAGTGAGCAGCTTCTCCCACCCTGCTTTCCCCCCACGGAGTGCCTCTCACTACAGGTTTCAAGCATTAAGGTCCAGGGACAAGGGACTGAAACTTCTGACATTGTGGGCCCAAAGAAACGTTCTCTGTCTATAAGATGTTTCATCTTGGGTACTTCTTACAGTAACTAAAAGCTGATTAGCACTTTATATTTTGGAAAATACACATAACTACATGAACATACTGTTTTCTAATACTGTATATTAGTCTTTCTCGCAACAGTGCCATGAAACACCTGAGGAGAGAATAGGTCCGTTTCTCTCACATTCCTGGAGGTTCAATGGTGTGGTGCCTGTGTTGGCTCAATGCTGGCGAAGCTGACAGAGATGGGGCAGCATGGCAGGTGTACATGACATATGAACAAACAAGTATTGGGAAAGACGAGGGATTATGATGGAAGGGATGGCATTGAGCAAGATGCTTTATACTTACAATCCGACTTGCTGAAGTGAAACTTCTTTATACAACTACTTAGAAAAGAGCAAATAAGTGATTATGTGTTAAAGCAAAGAAAGCGTGTTTGGGAGGGAGCTGGAGACCATTCGAATCTCAGGATCTCCTCTGAGGACACATTCCAGTGACCTGAGGACCTCCTGTTAGGTCTTCAAGGTTCTCACCTCTCAATAGCACCACTGTGGCTGCCAGTTGTAACCAGAAAGGCCTTAGGAGGACCTTCCAGATCCAAGCTATGGCATCCTGCCACTGGCCCAAGGTTCATGTCTGTCTCACAATTCAACTGTCCCAACAGATCGAGTCCAAAATCTCATGAAAGACTTAAGGCAAACTCAAATGTGAGCCTCTGTAAAAATAATAAAGTACCTTACCAAAAAGATGCAATCATATTACCAAGAAGGTATACTAGCAAAATGAGGGTAGGTAAACATTTTTATTGCCAAAGAGTAAATATAGAGACATAAAAAGGAAGTCTCAAAGCAAAGCCAGGATGAAACTCAGCAGGGCAAACACCATTCCTGAATCTCAATGCCTGATATCTGAGGCACACTGTGGTTGGGTCTGGGCTCCCAGTGGCTTGGTTGTCTCTGGCTTTGCTGACCCTAACCTGCAAGCTGCTCTCTTGTTTTTCACACTCCTAGGTGTTGAGTGTTGCTGGCATTTCCACCTCCCTCTTCCTTGAGTCTCCACATTGGCTTTGGCTTCATTCCCTAAGTGCCATTGCACATTACTTTATTGGGTAAGCCAGCCCTTTTTCTTTTTGATTAACTCATAAAATTATACATACTTATTATGTGCACATTGTGTATGATCAAGTTCATCTTAAGTTTTTATCATTACTTTTTGATCAGTACAGTCAATATCCTCTTATCTGGTCATTTTGAGATATACAGTGCATTACTGCTAACTAGTCACCCTCCTGCACAGCAGAATACCAGAACTTGCTGTTCCTTTCAAATGTAATACTGTACCTATGGCCACTTCTCCCCATCCTCTTCTCTTCGCTCTCCCCATCCTCTGGAAATCCCTAGCCGATTTGTAGTATTCATGAGATCAACTTTTTAAGTTACCTGTGAGTGAGATCATGTGGTATCTGATTCTGTGCTTGACTTATTTCACTTAACATAATGTTCTCCAGGTCCATACACATTTTCACAAGTGACAGGACAGAATTTTATCTTGTTATGACTAAATAGTATGCCAAATATATGTATTATATGCAACATACACATGTGTACACATACATACATGCACACATGCATGTATATAATGCATATACATATCACATATATAACACATGTGATAGTTCTTGTATATAATGTATCATATATGTGTGTGCATACTGAGTATATGCAACACATGTAATGCATGCATATGATGCATATGCATATCACATATAACACATGTATGTGATAAATGTACTCTTCAATGTATATATCACATTTTCTTTATGTATTGAAAGACATCAGATTGATTCCATGTTTGCTATTGTGCTATATTCATCAACGATCAGTTTTGATAACATAAAAAAACCCTAGCTATTTGGCTGGGAGAATTATGGTTTGAGGCCAGCCCAGGTAGAAAAGTTCCCTGCACATAGACAGTGTCCCATACCTGTCATCCCAAGCTATATGGGAGGAATGCTATTCTAGGACAGCTGAAGCGGAAAAGTCCATGAGATTGCATCTCTGTGGAGGGGAGCTGGACATGATTATGCATGTCTCTGCTCACAGCAACTACAGGGAGCTTCTCATTCCATGGGGTGGTTATGGACTTCTCAGAAGACCCTTTAGTAGAATCAAACCATCAAGTCTGAATCCTCTAGATATTCTTACATTTAACAGCAGCTACTAGCTTCAAATACATTTTGATCTTCCATCATTACAGATATTTTCTTGCATAATAGATGAATCAAACCCCTCCCTTTTTGGAAAAGCTGGCTTACCAGTGACCTATGTGTGGAAATAACTGGTACTTACAAGCTGCCTCCATGAGCCGGTGGCTCATGCCTGTAATCCTAGCCACTCAGGAGGCTGAGATCTGAGGATCTTGGTTCAAAACCAGCTTGGACAGGAAAGTCTATGAGACTCTTATCTCCAATAAAAGTACTCAGAAAAGCCAGAAGTAGTGCTGTGGCCCATGTGGTAGAGCACTAGCCTTGAGTGCAAGGCTCAGGGACAGCACCCAGGGTCTGAGTTCAAGCCCCAGAACCAGCAGAAAACAAAATCACTGACTCTTCACATTGATCCCCAAATTAGCTAAATCCAGGAAAAAATACATATATTCTGGATGAGGGGCAGAGCTCAAGATGTAGAGTACTTTGCAGAAAGCTGGATTCTGAGTTTAATTCCTCGTACCACAAAAAAAAAAAAAATACTGCATCAACAAGAAGCAACAAAACACAAGGAACCCCCTTTGTCTCTCACTTCAGTTTGCATCTGCCTCTTTAGTCTTAGAATCACTTAATTCTACTACTTAATTCTCTATAGGTATATTATTAACTCAAGGAATATCTATCTCTAAACCTATATTATATATTACCTTTGCCATACACTTCCAAGGCTTAAAGTCCAAAGATAAGAGAAACTGAGATACCACTTTTTGCAACATCCAGTCCAAACTCACAAAAGGGCATTTGAAAATCTGCAGTCATCACAAACTTGAAATCACATTGGAATCTAGCATTAGCACAGCTTCACAGATTACTAGATGATAATGCTCTACAAACAGGAGGAAACAGCTCATGGGACCTGAATCGTCCCATCAAGTATTATTGGTTGACCTCGCAAAACCCAGAACTAAGATACTGATCAACCAAACCACACGTTGGCCAAAAGCTGCTTAATTTTTTCCATCTCTCACTCAAGCTCAAGCTTACTTTCTGTCTTCCCATGTGGCCTTCTTGAATAAAGTTAATATCTAGGATCTTGAGACAGGTGGCCTCAGTCTAGTCTATTTGGATTCCTAGAGCCCAGGATCTTGCACTAACGCTCTGCTATTAGCGAATGGGAAGTGTTTAAAGAATTACCAAATAGGGTCACATTTCCCACAGAAGTTTACACTGTAGACCAAAGCATCAGTCACTATTCAAAGCTCAATGGCAGCCTAGTAAAATGTGGTTAACAGAAGAGCGGAGCATTGAGATGGTTGTCCATAGCCTGTTTAGGTGGTCAGGATGAATTATTAATAGGTGAACTCTGGTTTCCTAGAAAAAGAACAACAGCTCAGTTCCCTCCCCCACCCTGCCCCGCAGGAGAGATGTTCTGATTAATGTGTTTGTATCTGGTTGAGTGCAAAGCCCAAAGCCAAAACAAACTCAAGAGATAAAAGAGTGGAGAACACTTACGACCTGCAACAGGTTGGAAAAGAGCCCGGGGAGTTTGCCCAGAGGGGAGCATACAGATGCATGTGGAGATGGGCACGTTCCAGGAGACTCTTGGTTCAAGACAAACATCACTGAGCATGCGCAACCTAAGGTCAAAGTGCAAAGAGGAAAGATGGCAGATAGGATAACTCTGGATCCCTTTACCGAATGAAGACAAACGCATTGGCTGGCCCCCTGGCTCAGGCCTGCAACCCTAGCTACTGAGGAGGCTGAAATCTGCGGCTCACTGTTCGAAGCCAGCCCGGCAGGAAAGGCCACATGAGAGTCTTATCTTCAAGCGACCGTCAAAAAGCTGGGTGTGCAGCTGTGGCCCAAGTGGTAGAGCACCACCCTGAGGAGGGGGGAAGGTGAGGGAGGGCGCCGAGGCCCCGAGTTCAAACCCAGGACCGGCGAACACTTCCAGGCCCGCGACACACCCTGGGCCGCTGCTTATTATGTCATAAACGAGCGACTGGAAGGGGGGAGGGCGCATTTTAGTTACGTCATGAAGATGAGCGGCAGGAATCTTCTAGCTGCAGCCTCAGGAGGAAGAAGGATTAAGAAGCCCTTCATGTGGCTGGGAAGGTGGCTCAGTGGTAGAGTGCATGCCTCACATGCATGAGGCCCCGGGTTCGATTCCTCAGCACCACATAAGCGGAAGAAGCTGGAAGTGGTGCTGTGGCTCAAGTGGAAGAGCGCTAGCCTTGAGCTGAAGAGCTGAGGGACAGCGCCCAGGCCCACGACCAACTAAGCTTTCATGCAGGTTTGGCCCCTTTCTCTCCCTAGGTGGAGGCAGGGGC